TCTGGAATTACAGAGATGAATAAAGCAGTGTCTTCAGCTTCTGCCAGTCCAATAACAGCTCTCCAGTCATTTTCAAACATGAATGATAATGGGAAAATTAATTTAATTGGACTGTAGGCTCCTCGAACTTGACTACAAACTCATTAGCATAGTCACCAATGTATTGCTGATGCTTCAGTTTCCTGATAGATGTTGAATGAATGGACCTGTGAGATATTGTGCCATTTCCTATGCAAATGTAGATGTAAGGTGAAGTCCCTCTCCTACTGATGCATTCATTGCCCCAACTATGACGTAGGGTGAAATTTATCTATAAGGTACTGGGTTATTAAAAGCCTTTTGCAAATGCTACGGCAATGAGTCACCACCAAGCCTGAATAACTTGATACAGAGGGACCATATCTATCCAGGTGCACAGGTCTGTGGGTACAGATATTAGGACACCATTCAGAAGCCACCCACACTGCTCATTATCTGAGGAGGCTAGATAAAGGAATTCATGGATCACAACCCTCTGGGGTTAGCAGGAAAGCACAAAGTTCCAGAGGCAATCTCTTTGAAATAAAGTCCCTTCTTAGTGATGGGAGATGTATGTGTCTAGAGATGACTGTCCCACTCTGGCCTCACTTCCTGGGCTTGTCTGTTCCTTCCTTGCCTCTCCTTCCCTCCCACCACAAGGTAAGAAAGAGCAAGTGATGCAGTCCATTCTTATCTGGGGCTCCTTAGCACCTACTTCTCCCTGTCATTAGGTAGAAAAGATTGTTTCCCTCTGGATCCCCACAGCCTACATTGCCACTCTCACATCAGCATTACCAGGACTACAGCTGTTGAGCGTGACACCTGACTCTTCTCCCCTGCGTAGTGGCAGGTTTTGAGGTTGCTCCTGAGGGAACTCCAGGGGATCTGGGTTACTATGTTGGAGTGGGAGTGGGTCAGGGAAGTGAGGGAGTTCTCCATGGGGACTGCAAGCTGAGCTTCTGGTTTGTCTGGTTCTGTCCTGCAGGCATCATATTTGAAGACAGGTGCTTGGAATGAAGCGACAAGGAGGTCCAATCCCACACCCCAGGAGATCAGAGGGCCTCCATGAGCATCTTCCTAATCAAACTTGCTTACAGGCCAACTTCTCTGAGGCCACTGTGAGTCTGGCAACAGTTCAGTGGCATAAGCCTTGAAAAATGTACCTCTTACCTTCTGGTTTACCATGGACAACAGGCTTTACATCTTGCCAGTCAAAAGGATGAACCAGGGTGAGGCAGCTGCAGAGGCAGAAGAGCGCATGCAATTTGGGTGGCAACATCTCGGAAGCTGAGCAGTGGTTTCAGCTTAACCTTCTTCAAGGCAGATTATTAAAAGAAAAAAACAAAACAAAACATGCAATAAAGAGATTTATATAGGCTGACAAATCATTGTTATTAGATACTAGTAATATGATTTTATAAATTACTAGAGGCCCAGCACGAGAAATCACATGAGACCTAGATCTGGTGTGCCCCGGGACCCAGCATCAAGTCCTGCCGGCACCGCGGGACCCATCAATGCACCTGCTTGTGACTGGTCTTTGGTCGTTACGGTGTTAC